ACACACATACTCCTAACAGGCTCTAGTCACACTTCCAACCTCCAATGGGCTAAATCCAGCTAGACACCAGATAGCAAGATCTCCTGATGCCATTCACACAGGTCAGCCTCCATGACCACACAGCAGGTGGAGACGGGTGGAGGCTGGATCCTGAGGGGCACACAGAATTGACCCACTTCTAGGCAGGACCCCAAGATGAATGTTAAGCAAACTGCAAGTAACACAGAAGAAACAATAAACAGCACAACTGGCTGGAACAAAAGGCATATGCATGGAACTAATGGAAGAAAAAGTGAAAATGGCAGATTGGAGTAGAAGATAATTAAGGCCACACTAAGAAGTCCCAAGTGAATTTGGGTAACAGGCAACTACTGAAGGCACATATGCAGGAAAGTAAAATAATATGAGGACAGTAGCAGCAGTATATACAGTCAGGCAAAAGGAGAGTCACTAAGCAGAGGTCAGTTAGCTTACTCTGGCAGGCTAGGTATTAAGGAAGTAATAGGCATTAATATAAATTGATCCCCTAGTACGTTCTGCATATCACAAAAGTCTTATCCATTTAACCCTGTCCATTTTAAATTGAGAAAATTGAGCCTCAGAGAAGTAACATGCTGAAAGACAACAAGCAACTGGTAAATGCTACAAAAGCCACATGACTTCACTAAGTTGTGCTGTCTTGATGAAGGATTGGCAATAGAAACAGAAAGTGAAGAGGAGAAGTTCACTGACGGGCCTTATTCTGAGACTAACCAGATATCAGCTGAGTCACTTAACCTCTCCCTAGATCAGCTTCCTCATCTGCAAACTATGGACACCTACAAAAACATTTCTTCCATCTCTAAAATTCTCCTGTTGCCTTACTCCGACTTAATTCACCAGCCTTCCCACCCTCAAACCAGACCTGCCAATAAACATCCCCGTCAACTTCATCTTCAACTCATTTCTTCCTATAGACTCTCAGAATTTGATCCAACTGCGATCTCTCCAATAAATCCACTTGAGCCCAAACTCCTCAGTGAGAAGAAGCCATCCTTAACTAACTCAACAGGGAAGCAGGTATAGGCCTTCTGTGATATTGTGATATAATAAAAAATATAATTTGGTCTTCATCCCCAGTTCCTGATATAGAGTTCCTAAAACTCATAATTTCCTGAGTGACAGGGGTGAGTGAACCATTTTTTCTTGTTACTCTAATAAGCCCCTTTCGGCCATATCTGAGTTTATGCTAATGAGGAAATTCTTGGAGGATGGGAGTGGGTAGCCAGAGGCGCCAACCATGTGAAGTTCAATAAGCAACGGCCAATGATTTAATCAATCATACCTATATAATGGAGCCTCCAGAAAACCCTAAATGATGGGGTTTGGAGAGTTTCCAAGCTGGTGAAACAGTGGGGTGCTGGGAGGGTGGCACACCCACAGAGGGCATAGAAGCTCAGTGTCCCTTTCCACATACTCTGCTCTATGGATTTCTTCCATGTGGATACTCCTGAGTTGTATCCTTTATAACAAAGCAGTAATAGAAAGCAAAGGGCTTTCCTGAGTCCTGTGAGCTGTTTGTTCTAGCAAATCATCAAATCTGAGAAGAGGGTTGTCAGAAGTACCAGTGACAATCTGGACTTACGATTGGTATCTGAAGTGGTGGCAGTCGTGAGACTAAGCCTTTAACCTATGAGGTCTGCACTAACTGGGTACTCAGTGTCAGAACTGCTGGGTGTAGAAAACCTACACATTCGGTGTCAGAGTATTGTGAGTACAGAAAAACATAGTTTACCTTCACCTTCTATGATTTCCTATAGAAATTATATTTCTGTAAGCCATCGGGCAGCCTCCTGAGCACAACGTTAATTACTATTCGTTATTTTTAACACATTATTTTCTAGAACAGCTTTACGTTCAGAGTAAAACTGAGCAGAAAGTAGAAAGTTCCCACATATGCCCTCCCTCCCTCCACCTCACACACCCCTCCCCATTGTTTTACCCACAGCCCCCACCAGAAAGGTAGACAGACGTGTTACAATCGATGAACCTACTACATGACCATCATTACCCACAGCTCACATCACCATTCACTCATGGTGGTGTACATTCTATGGGTTTGAGCACCTGTATAATGACAGGTACCATTCAGAATAGTATCACTGCCCTAAAAGTCCTGTGTGCTCCATCCATCTAGCCACCCTTTCCCCCCTTCAATAATCACCCTTTCCCCCCTTCAATAACCACTGGTCTTTTCACTGTCTCCATAGTTTTACCTTTTCCAGAAAGTTATATGGTTGGAATCAGAGTATGTAGCCTTTCCAGGTTGGCTTCTTTCACTTAGTAATGTACTTTCGCGTTTCCTCCGTGTCTTATCATGGCTTCATAGCTCATTGCTTTTCAGCATACAATAATACTTCACCATCTGGAAGTACCACAGTGTGTTTATCCATTTGCTAAAAGACATCTTGGTTGCTTCCAAGTTTTTGCAATTATGAATAAAGCTGCTATAAACATCTGTGTGCAGGTTTCTGTGTGGACATAAATTTTCAACTCCTTTGGATAAGAACCAAAGAGTAGGGGCCAGCCGAGAGGCTCGTTGGTTAAGAGTTGGCATGGGAGTGCAAGCTTTGAGCAGCAGGGCTCCGGTTCGGATCCCACATGGGCCAGTGACGCTGCGCCCTCTACAGCTAAGATGGTGAACAACAGCTCGACCTGGAGCTGGGCTGCCATGAGTCGCCAGCAACGGCATAGGCTGCAGTAGGGCTGCAGTGGGGCTGCCATAAGCTACGGTGAGGGGCCGGCAGCCGGCAAGAGCTGTATGAGTGGCCATCCAATGGCCGGCGAGCGACTGCCTCAGCAGGGAAGAGCGCAATGATAATACCAACATGGGCCAGTGAAGCGGTGTCCTCCACAACAAGACTAAAGAAAAAAAGGACAGCAACTTGTCTGTTCCTCCTCCCGAGTCCCCAACGCTGTTCGCTCCCCAATTACCCAAATAAAAATAAAAAATTTAAAAAAAAGAACCAAACAGTGCAATTGCTGAATCATATAGAAAGGGTATGTTTAGTTTCATAAGAAACCGCCAAACTGTTTTCCAAAGTGGCTGCACCATTTTGCACTCCTACCAGCAATGAGTCCTGTTGCTCCACATCTCGTCAGTATTTGGTTTGTCAGTGTTTTGGATTCTGGCCCTTACAATGTGCGTGTGGTGGTGGCTCACTGCTGTTTCAATTTCCACCTCACTAATGACACATGATGGGAGCATCTTTTCATATGTTTCTTGGCCATGTGTGTATGTTCTTTTGTAAAGTTTCTGCTCAGGTCTTTGGCCCATTTTTAAAATCAGGCTGTTTAATTTCTTATTATTGAATCTTAAGAGTTCTTTGAATATTTTGAATAAGAGTCCTTTATCAGGTATGTCTTTTCCAAATATTTTCTCACAGTCTGTAGGTTATCTTTTCGTTCTCTTAACAGTATTTTTTGCAGAGCACGAGTTTTTAATTTTAATGAAGTCCAGTCTATCAATTCTTTCTTTCATGAATAATGCCTTGCCGTTGCACCAAAAAAGTCACTGCCATACCCAAGGTCACCTAGATTTTTCTCCTGTGTTATCTTCACTACCATTCATGTCTTTTAAAAAATTATTGAATGGTCAGGATGCACTTGGTTCTCAAACAGAAGATAAATAAGGCAACAATATCCCCAAGCATCCTAAAGCACCTGCTGGAAGAAGCTCAATCGAACAACCACTGAGGCTGTGATTCTCCACTGGGAGAGAGCAGTGTATGAATACGGTGTCAAATTTAACAGCACAGGCACTGGAGCTACAACGGCCAGGGTTCAAATCCCACCTCTGCCACTTACTAGCTGTGTGTCCTTATGTTTCAACTTCCTCATCTGAAAAAGGAGCATATTTGTATCCACTTCACAGATGTGCTGTGGAGGTTACATGACTTGATGCACGTGAAGGACTTAGCACAGTGCCTGTCACAGTGCAAGTGCACAATGAATGACAGCACTACTGGATTCTCCAAGATGGGGTGGAGAGATAGTTTCAGAAAAGCATTCAAAATTATCACTGCTAAAAAAGTTTAATCATGATATTTCACTTCATTTTGGAATTTCAACAGAAGATTAAGGTATAGTCTCATTCTCATATTCTGTAATCATCAATCTCTAATAAATCAAAGACTCAAAATTAATAACAACATATGGAAGGTAGTAGATACAAGCCAGCGGGAAATAGCTAAAAATCTAAAAATCTTTATTTGGCAGAAGTAGTCTATTTGTTTTGTTTATTAAGGAAAAAAAAACACACAAATTTCTCATTTACAAGATAGTTAAAATTTTAAGTGAGACCCTCAATTCATTTAGCTTAATATTTCAATATCATATTACTGGTTTTCATTTGTGCTAATCTAACAAGGAAAAATAAACTATTAACATTTAAAAAATAAACTACAGAATTAAGGATGGCTTATGTCTCAGTGGCATAAAAATCTGTTTTAAAGAACACTGGCTAACAAAACAAGCAAACCATAATTCTAATTCTATTTTCTAGTGTAATAACTATAAAAATTACACCTTGAAGAGGTATCAAAATTGAACACTAAAAAGTGCTTTTAAAGAGGAAAACTGCAACTAATTATGTGATATGAAAACATGCAAATGTCAATGCTAATAAAACTGAAAAAAACATACAAAATCATTTCCTTATTTGAAAATTGATTAAACTCTGTCTTCCTGGTCTGAGATTTAAATTAAATCTATTTTACCTACAATAAAATTAAGATTAAAAAAAACCAATTATCATCCGTCTCATTTAAAAGCTCACTTATAATCAAATATATGCCTCCTATATGGGATCAGTCCATGCATTAAGCAGTCAGGGATAAAACTTTAAGATTTTACATCTAAAACAAAAATTTTCATAAAGATGCTCAATATTAACTAAGTAGTATTTTTATAATATAGTTCACACAATATATACCTCTGCTTATCTCACTTTCAACAATTACCTTTAATTGTTTCCTCCACAACTTCCACTACACGATCTATCTGTTGAACCTAAAAAGAAAACAAACTATTAGACAGGCAGTTTACACAGAGAAGAAACATTAATTTGTGTTTATCTTTCTGCTTAAGTCAATGTTACACATTTTCTAAGCACACGAATGTAGGTTTTCTTCAATTAATGCATTTGGAGATACTATAAAAATATTCTATATTAATGTTTTATGTTACAATGCAGTATGAAATTATCATTCTCCTGTCCTCTAATGACAATTGAAGTACTACATTTAAATGAATTGCCTGGAGTTCTGTTAGGAGAGCCTATCAACACAAACTCAAAATGTTCTAAGATATAAACTGAAGTTTAATGAAAACATGTCTTTTCACACAGAGCTTCAAGAAAAATGGTATAAAATGACAACCTACACAAAAGGACATGCTGATATTAAAGAGATTTACCCCAGATTCTACGCTTTATTATTTGACACTGAAACCCCTTTTAATGAATTTCTACCATGTGCTGGGTGCTGTGCTCATGTCCATATACTACAGAGTCAAATAATAACAGCTCCTGCCCTGGACACCAGTGACTAAGAAGATTTCCCAGGGTGGCATGGGATCACAGAGGAGAGGTAATAAAGCCTGACTGAGTCATCCAGGAATGCTTCTCAGGGAATCAAAGGGGACTCTTAAGGGATAAACAGGATTAGGTTAGAAGACGCTCACTAGGGAGACTGAATTAGAGTGGTTGAAGGTTAGAAGGAAAATGAAAAAAGCAAAGAAGCTAAAGGAACACATAAAGAATAGGTCATAAGTTGATATTACTTCTACCTTAAAAATCCTCAAATCATCAGTGTTTTATTACAGAGGTAATACATATTCACTAAAAAAATTCAAACGAAATAGACATATAAAGAGGAAATATAGTAACCCTTAACATCCTCCATCGTCCATTTCCATTTCTCAGATGAAATCACTCATAACAGCTTGATGAGTAGCTAACAAGACATTCTTCAGCGCTAAACATTTATATACACAGTAGTCCCCCCTCATCCATGAAGGATGCGTTTCAAGACCCCCAGTGGATGCCTGAAACCACAGATAGTGTCGAGCCCCATATATACTATGGTTTATCCTATACACACATACCTATGGTAAAGTTTAACTTATAAATTAGGCACAGTGAGAGATTAACAAGAACCTATAACAAAATAGGACAACTATAACAATACACTATAATAAAAGTTATGTTCCCTATGGTCCGCCTCCCTCCCTCCCTCTCTCCCCCGCTCTCTCTCTCTCTGATAACCGATCTGATAACTGAGAGGGTTACTAAGTGACTAATGAGAGGTAGCACGTACAGCATGGAGACACTGGACGAAGGGATGATTCAGGTCCCGGAGGGGATGGAGTAGGACAGTGCAGGATGGCGCGAGATTGCATCACGCTACTCAGAACAGCATACAATTTAAACCTTATGAATTGTTTATTTCTGGACATTTCCATTTAATATTTTCAGACTGTGGTTGACCATGTGTAACTGAAACTGCAGAAAGTGAAATCATGAATAAAGGAGAACTAATAGAGTTCTGTTCTGTATTTTTTTTTTTACTAATTATGAGATAGACAGGTGATAGATAAAATAAGATCTGAGCCTTGATCTGTTTTCCATACATCATCAGCACATACAAACCTATTTTACTCATTGTACTAGTTGCCCAGATCTCATGTATAGATATACCATAACACATTAATCCATTCCCCTACTGATGGACATTTACTCTATTACTAATCTTTCATTATTATACAACAATGCTGCAAAGAACTCAACTAAGACAAAAAGAACCTTTGTTAAAAAAAGTATTAAAAATGCAATGGCAAAGCTCTTTAAAAGTTTCCTTTGTCTACAGGAAATAAGGAAAGACTAACACACGTGAATCCAGCTCTGCCTCTGACCACTCAGCCCAGTATGATGGTGGCAGTAGCAATAATAATTGGGAAACTGTCAAAGGCAAAGTAAATCTCTGAGAATGTTGAATCTTTAGTCCAAACCAAACCTACTTAACTGAAGGTGCCTTTACTTGGAACCACTACAAGCAAGCATTAGGTTCTGGTTTTATTAAGAAGGTCCAAATGGTTTCCTTACAGAATGTAATCAAAGCCAGGATAACAAAAAGTTCAAAGAGGAGGAAGTGGCCAGCAGTGTCAAATGCTACAGAGACAGCAAGGAACATTAAGACTACAATGAGTATGCCTGATTTAATGAATGGGTCGATGAACTTAGGGGAGGTGGGGAGCTCAGTAGTAACGAATCTTAAATAGGAAAATGGTGGAGTGAGCACGTTGTAAGTTAGAAAAATGTCTCATCACTGTGTTGTACACCTGAAACTAATATAATACTGTATGTCAACTGTAGTTGAAAAAGAAAAAAAGGAAAGAAAATGGTGACAGTTAATATAGACTACTCTTTCAAAAAGCTGGGTAGAAAGGGAAGGACAAAGAAAACTCCTAGCTAAGAGAAACTGAGTGTGTGTGTGTGTGTGTGTGTGTGTGTGTGTGTGTGTGTGTGTGTATTGGTTTGGGTTAATGTATTTAACTTTATTTATTTATTTATTTATTTATTTACTTATTGGTAGTGTGTGATGTACATGCTGGTGGAGAAAGGCAGTAAAGAAAAAGTAGTTGAAGATAAAAGAAATAACTGATGGAGCAAGTCTGGTGGCACATAGACCAAACAAGCAGCAGTATTTCCACAGAAGAGTCACAATCACATGTACAGGAAGCAGTTAAAGGTTAAAAAGTTGAGGGTGACCTAAAACCATAAAATTCTCAGAAGAAAACAGAGTCATAAATTTGTGTAATCACTAGAGGAACCTTGGATTAGACAATGGTTTCTTAGATATTACACCAAAAACATATGAGCAACAACAACAACAAAAAAAAACATAAACTAAAATTAAAACCCCTTGGTTCATCAAAGGGCACCATCAAGAAAGTAACAAGACAACACAGAAAATGAGAAAATTTTTGCAAATAATAAATCTGATAAAGGACTTGCTTCTAGAATATATAAAGAACTCCTACAACTCAATAATACAAACACAAATAAACCATTTAAAAATGGGCAAAGTCTGAATAGAGATTTCTCCAAGGAAGGCAGACAAATGGCCAATCAGCACATGAAAAGATGTTCAACATCATTAGTCAACTAGGGAATGCAAATCAAACTAAAATGTGGAAATGGAGAATTACCGTTTAACGAGAATAGATTCTCAGTTCTGGAGATGGATGGTGGTGATGGTTGCACAACAGTGTGAATGTACTTAATGCCACTGAACAGTATACATAAAAATAGTTAAAATAATAAATTTTATGTTCTGTATATTTACCATAATGAGACACCACTTCATACCCACCTAGGGTGGCTATAATCAAAAAGACAAAAAGTAACAAGGTGGGTGAGGCTATGGAGAAACTGGAACCCTCATCCGTCGCTAGTGGGAAAGTAGTAAAATGGTACAGTTGCTTTGGAAAACACTCTGGGAGCTCCTCAAATATTAAACATCGGGTTACCATATGATCCAATAATTCTAATCCTAGGTATGTATCCAACAGAAATGAAAACATATATCCACATAAAAACTTGTAGACACGTGTTCATTGCAGCATTATTTGTACCAGTCAAAAGGTGGAAACAACCAAAGTCCCATCAACTGATAAAAAAAAGGTGACATATCCATACAATGAAATCTCATTAAACCATAAAAGGGAACAAAGTATTGATATATGCTAAAACATTATGCTAAGTAAAAGAAGCCAGACAGAAAGTCAAGTATTATAATTCCATGTATAATAAATGGCCAGAATAGAGAAATCTTCAGACATACAGTAATCTTCAGAGATACAGTAGATTAGCACGTGCCCATGGATGTGTGGTGAAAGAAATGGGAGAAGCTGATAAGCAGTATTGGGTTTCTTTTTGGAGTGATGAAAATATGCTAAAATTGATCATGGTGATGGCTGCATAACTCTGTGAATATACTATAAACCAATGAATTACACACGTGAAATGGGAGAATTGTATGGTATGTGAATTATATCTCAAAAAAAAGCTGTTATTACAAAAAAAAATGTTGAGGGTGGTCAAATGTTCTAATGTCAAATCAAAGTCATGAAACTCAAGGAAAAACTGAAACATTCCAAATTAAAGTAGACTAAAGAGACCTGACACTTGAACGCAATTTTGGACCTGGGGTGTTTCTTTTCTTATAAATGACATTATTGGGACAAGTGGCAAGATATGAATAAGATTTACACAAGATTATTTCCTGATTTTTATAATTGTACTACAGTGATGTCAAACAATGTCTTCTTTTCAATTTTTATTTTTGTAAGAGAATGTCTGTGTTTTTTAAATATAGGGGTATTTACAAGTTGAGAGGCATCATGTTTGCATCTTGCACTCAAAAGGATCAGAAAAAAATGTGTATATATAAAAAGAGAATGATTTGTACATTTTTAAAATATTAACATTTGGGGAATCTGGGTAGCAAGTATATGGTAATTATTTTTGCAGCTTTTTCTGTGAGTGTAAAATTATATCAAGTTTAAGTGTATGTGCATGTATGTGTGTGTAGGGAGGGCGAATGTTGAAGAAATAGAGATTTTCTTTCACCTTGATGGTCACAGAGAATTTGCTTGAATGTATACAGCTGAAAATATATCCTCTGACTTAGAAAACTGATTACTTTTGCTATTGTGGCAGAAAAATCGATGTTGCCTACACATGATAATTTAACCACTGGCTGGTGTGAGGGAAACGCCAAACTTTAAAAAGAAGTGTTTTCCAAATTTGAAGAAAAGGGGTAAAAGGGGTACATATTTGATGACAAACCAACAGGCGAGAAGCTTATTAAATCACTGAATGAAATATGTTGTCATTTCCATTTTTCGTAAGGAGGATATTGGAGGAAGCAGTGGGGTGGGGAGAGAGAAAAGGAGAGACAGAAAAGAAAGGCAGAGAAGATTCGGGGGAGGGGAAGTTAAATGAAGAG